AAGAAAAAAGAAAGCCGCTAACTTTTTTTTTTTGATAAATATATCAAATCCGAGGGAATTAGTACTACATGGCATAAATGGTGTTTTTGTAAATCATCTGATGAGAGAAAAAGGAAAGGGCCTATTGTTTCTATTGCATGATAAGGTATTGGACTGACATATGGGCCAAGGAACATCCCACATGGATACTTGAAAGAATTACCTAATATGAAATCATGTTAGAATTAGGAGCCTATGTATCCGACTAGATGCATGTACTCTGTGATTATGTGATGCAATGTTTTAAAAGCCGACACAAATGTTGATAATTAGTTTTATGTCTGAGTACTGATGGATCACCAATTCAACCGTTGGGATTGAAACCATTTCACTAATAATATCTCCTATTCACCATTAGAAAGAAATATTAGGTCAATTTTATGCAATTCATACTTCTTTCCCTCTTCTTTTCTTATTTTTTGTGTGTAAAAGACAGAGAGAGAGAGAGAGATTTGGCAGTTGACTGAATCTCCCTTTCTCTTTCTCTTCCTCCCCTCTCCTAATCAGTTGATCACTCTTTCAGTCTTTTATTCTAATTTCTTTCTTATTAAACGTTATATATTTTAACAATTTTTTTCAATTTTCTCTCTCTCTTATTTCCTATAAAACCAAGCACAACCTTAGGGGTATTCATCAATGTGTATAATTTTATTTTGGGAAGCAAAAATAATACAATTTTGTTGATATGATAATTGCTTTAGGAACACTTTTTTAGTCTTGATATAAGTCTCATAAATGAAGTAAGGTTTAGCTTAACACTTTGGTTGTTCAGTGTGCTATAGAACCAATGATAAGGTTCCACACCGATAATAAAATACATGGGCCCACACCTTTCACAGTGGGACCCATGAATTTATTACTAAGGTGAAACTTCATCATTTTGGTTCTACAGTCCGCTGATGGTTGTTCAGCTAATCCGAATTCTGATAAATGAGTTATTAATTATCAGATGAATTATCTTTCCTTCAGGGAGGAAACTTCCACAAAGCAAGCAAGAAGATTGGAATCTTTGATGATTTAAATTAGCATGTGTAACTTATGCATATGTAGAGGCGTAGAGCCAAAGAAAAGAGAAACCCTGCAAGAGGTAAGTTTAATTCTATAGAATAATGTTAGAAAGATTTATTATATTTGAATTCAAACGAGAAAGGTGCTCTACATGAATGAAGAGTTCTATATAGCATGGTTTTTAAAAACGAACCGGGTTCGGTCAGGAGTCCGATTATCGGTTTGAACGGTTTAATATCGTTTGATTCGAACAACTGGCCCATTCTAACAAAAAAATAAAAAAGTAAGAAAACGGTCAAAACCGTTCAAACGGTTAACCGGCCAGTTCAACAGTTTGCTGACCAAATCAACGATTTTGAAAGAAAACGGAACCGATCACCTGACTGATTCCCGATTTTTTCGGTCCGACCATCCAGTCCAATCTGATTTTAACCATGCTATATAGAATAATGCTAGAAAGATCCAACATCAATTGATCTTACATTGTCTGTTTTGATTCATTAGATTTAGTTTGTCATTCAGTTAATTTTAATCACACTGATTGTTACAGAAGTTGAGTTTCTGATCAAAGTTAATGAATTTGTATTTATTCAAGTGCTTGTTTACTTAGTTCTGTTCTTGGTGGAATTTACCTCATTGTTCTCATTTAGACAAAATATATGATACATTCACTATACCGTGCAACATTGTAAAACATAAACCAAGAAAGAATAAAAAGATTTTAACATGATTGATTAATGTATAACTAATATTAACAAATGCACTATAGTTGAACTTTTATATTTAAGCATAGTTTACATAAATTATTTGCTCAATTTTTTTTGCTCTATCCTCTTTGGGTTGAATCTAATCCAATCCAAGGGGAAGAACAGTAGTGAGTAGCCCAGCTCCTCGAATCGTTAAATTTTGTCTCGAAGGGTAACAAGTGACAAATCAAACATCTTCAACTAAATCGAGCTAGACCAAACCCGATCATCTGATCCGTGTCTGGGCTAAAATAAACAAGCCAAACAATTATTCATTATCTTCTTTTCACATTTTATGGAGCAGGTTAAATATTTGTCCCAAATGGTCAGACTGTTCAACCATTGACTTGCCAGTCTCAGTGGGTCAATACCAGTCTGGATTTATACCGCAAGTACCACCCTTTTTTATTAGGTACAACAAACTTTTTTGTTTTCTTCGCCATTATTATTATTATTATTATTATTATTATTATTATTATGGTTGGGCCAGTGGCATCTTTGGTGAAAATTGATGACAATTGACAAAACCTATTTATAAGCTCTATGCATGAATCCATGTAATAGTATGTGCATTTTACAATTCATGAATCCTATCTTCATCCATGCAAATGCAAATTCAAATTACTAAAAAGCCCCGTAATCGATTCACTTCATTCTCCAATCTCTATTTGTTGGTGGATTCCTTCCACTCAAGTGCTCAACCGAATCCATCCAATCCACGGTCCTCTAAAGCCAACGCCAAGGCCCAAGTATGTAGGCCCAATACCACCCAATTAAGGTCGTGGTAGGGCCCACCAGGGAACAGCCAAAGTTGGCATTTGTACTCCCCCAGCGTTAAAACCATCGGACCAGATACTTGACCGGTGAAGGCAAAAGAGGTGCAGAAATACAAATTAGGAATACGTCAAGATGAGAAAGATTAAAGATTCCAATCTGAAGGTCCTTACAAAGAGAGAAAATCCAGCTGAGGGTGGACCATGAACATGAAAAGGTTGCAGTCCAACGCTTGACATCTGAGGATAAGCTTCGTTCACCCTCCAATGACAGATTCTCACTACGAATCTATTACCAGTACTTCACATTGGGAAGGAACAACAACAAGGGAGGAAGAAAAATAGAGAAACCCTTAATGCATTTCGAAAATTAAAAAAAAAAATGTTTTCTTCTTTTTTATTGTTCTATTATTTTGTGAAGATAATTTAATTTATATTTTTATATATATTTTTTGAAATGGAGAGATTGTGGTACTGGCAGCGAGTAGTACCGTGTGGGAAATCTTTTCACGCATAAAGATGACGCACCCAACAGTCCTCACTTTCAAGCTTCTTCTTTCTCGTGAGTGAAAAAGAATATCTCTTTGCTGTTTTCCGAAAACTAAAATACTTTTTTTTTTTTGGGAGTCGGGGAGCGGTCTTTGTATGTTTCGTACGGAGTTTTCTTTCCAGTTTTCAGAAAACTGGAACCTCCGTTTCGTCGAGCGACGGCAAACTCGGGCGCTCCCTCAAGCAAAAGATCTCTCTCTCTCTCTCACCCAGGCTCTCTGAGGGAGAGAGAGAGAGAAGAGAGAGCGGAGGTGATGGAGGTACGACAGCATAATGACGTCAAATGAACTGATTAATGTGTCAGATACGAGCCACGTCGATATGATTGAAGTCCCTCGTGGTTAATTAATTCCTTTTGTTTTGTTGGGAAGTAGCGGTAAAACATGTTTAAATCAATTAACTGGCCAAAATGCCCCTATCTTTCTTAATTTCTACGTCTACTACCACTACTGCTGCTGCTAGGCTCCTAGCTAGTTATATATGTTCTCACCCGAAGTCATTCGCTTCATGGTACTTAATTAATTTATTAATCCTGACTTTAACTCCTTGATTTGATGTTTCAACTTATTCTTCTTTTTTTTTTTATTTAAGCTAATGAATTAAGGAACTATTATATAATCGTTAATCAGTTATAGTCAAACTTTACCAACTTCCTTTTTTTCTGCTACTAATTAAGTTAATAAAAGGCTTTAAGAAAGAGATAATTTATGCTTTAGCTTTTATTAATCTATCTTTTTTGATGACTAATCTTACGATAGTTAAAAAGTAATTCAGCTGACGATTAAAGTTTCTCCTATTAAACTTTCTGTTGGAAACTTTTTGACATAATCTTCTTAGAAATAATTCTTTTTTTTTTTTCTCTTAAACACCCCAACCACATATACCCAATCGGTTGACATTTTTCTCTCATATTTTGATTTTGGGTCTGCCTCTCTTAATACGAAGGTTTAAGTGGGTGATTGAGGGAGAGATTTGAAGCGTTTATGCTTTTCCCTACTGGACTATAGAGGGATCTATGTGGGTAGAATTCCTTAATACTTACAAAGAGATACAAAATCACTATTCAGTATTCACCACAGGGATGATTGGAGAATCCATGAAAAGACCCAATTCGAAAACTCAGATTAACAAGAAATTAGCATCCAAAGAAGCTCACTTAATAGGTAATTCCAAGTAATTCCCACTTTTATTTATTAATTATAATCTCCTTCAATCATCCTTGTCCAAAAGGGAAAAAGCAGATTGTTAATGCGTGACTCTTAAATAATTAAATTAAATTATAGGTGAAGTTTTGGTAACGTATTGTCAGAGTTGTGGGAGAGTACGTACTTCTGAGTTCTGAGGGCCATTTTAGTCAGTTCAGAAAAGACCGCGTTCAAACTGCAAGTCCACTGATCCAAATTCATAACGATTTAATTTTTACTATTTTCACTCGGAGTAAAAAAATAATACAAGTAAAAAAAGTGGTAATTATTTTTTACCTCGTAACGTGAGAATGTGAGATAGTAGAACGAAAAAGAGAAAGCGCCGTTTTGGGCTTGGGGGGATGACGGATAAGTATTCTGAACGGCAACCAAAGTTCAATCAACCTCTTCTCACGTGCGTGATGCGTCATAAACGAAATATTAATTAATTTCTTTGAAAGTTTACTTAAAGAGAACTGTTTCTATTTTCTCTCTTTTGATAGGTGTAGTAGCTATACTGTTTTGCAGAGTGAGCAGTGACAACAAAAGCAAATCAAAATTTTTGTCAGTGAACATAAATATTACCGGAAACAGCCGGTGGTCGTCCGGTTTCTCGAAGCCCTATGCAGCAAGAACAAGACACCCACACCCCCTCCCCCCTCCCC